CATCCACTTTCTTGGATAAGTCGCTCCACCTGGAATCATGAGCGCTTAAGGTGTCGTAGATTTCCGAAATGACCGGATGAAGTTTTTCACTGTTCTTAAGACATGCACCCAGAGCCTCTACAATTTCCAGAGGGATTTGGCCTTTCTGTAGCTGAGACACTTTATCGTGAAGATATTTTAACGTTGGAGAATCACAGATACTACAGAAAAATCTAATATTGTGATACTTTTGTTGGCAGAGCATCTTTGTTGTCGTTTTATCCAGACCAGTGCAGCTCATACAGAAATGCCGGCGACATTCACCGCTACAGCGAAGTTTATACTTGTCCTTGTCAGAGGTGATTTTTTGACAGGAGTCACACTTGAACTCGGCCATTTTTGCACAAAGAAAAGCAACGACGCGAGGCTGAAGTTCAATACACGCAAGGTTCAAGTACAATAATTTCACAGGAACATTACCGGTAAAACAGGAACTAGTTTATAAAACAGGAACTAGTTTAAAATTAATTTAGCGAAAGTACACGCACAGCGAACAATAACACTTCGATGTGTTGTTGGTTCAAAACAAAGCATCAAACAAATCAAATCAAAACAAACAAAACAAACATTCAACACCCGCAGAGCCTACGAACGGAAAAACACAACCGTCCCGTACGACTGCTGAGAATTGACTGTAAACAATACGTAGACAACGAGTAGACAAACCGCGTAAAGTAGATTTCATAGTCTACGGCACATCCCTGCTTAGGAGTTTTATGTCTAGAGTCAAAATATTTCTTATTATATTCCTGTACTTTAGCTAGCATTTTGTCTACAAGCTTCACTTCTTACTATATGAAGATCTGGACTCAGCAGGACTTTTACACTTGCGTCTATCTCAACGTGGCTCCTTCAGTATGCGCGTGCGCCTACTTTCCACAGAAAATTTTTAGGTTACGTTTTCTTGTTTTGTTTTGATTTTGATCTTGTACGTTGTTACCTAAATTCCCTAATTTTGTTTCTAGTGACCCTGAAATTTCTATCCACCCCGTTTAGGATAATTTTTTAGTACAAGAAACCCAATCTAGCCCTTGACTATTTATATCTGTAATAAATAAAATACAAAGGTATGTATTTGGGTGAAAATTTTATTTTGACACAGAAAAAATCAAATTGCACATAAAATCTAGAAGAAAGTATGTATAGTCCCCGCCACAGATAATCGAGATTCCTACAAAAAATGATTTCTCTGTCGGCGATGCCCGGATAAACAAAAACCGTTGCAAAAACTCTACACATAAAGAATTGAGAATAAATTTAGTCCAAAAGCATCAATTTTTTGATTTTGTTCATCCGGGCATCGCCGACAAAGAAATAATTTTTTGTAGGAATCTTGATTATCTGGTGCGGGGACTCTCAGACTCTAAATGCGTGTCCAATTCAGTGTAGAACCCAAACGATTTGTAACACATTACACAAAGGGCACAGTATTGTTTTTCTCCGAATGACAGTAAAAGCGGCCTTTTAATGACACTTAACAGGATCAAAAGTTGTATTTTTACTGCCTAGGCAGTAAAAGTGGACTTTTACTGCCTAGGCATTAAAAGTGACAGTGTCACAACGTTCCAGGTAAGAATTTCACTCAATTTGCTATTTGAAATTGATGGTGACAATGAATGACAATTGTCAAAATAATTTAATTATCTGGATAATAATAATGAATTAAATAAATATAAAAAAGATGTCTATGTATGAATTTGAACATTCGGAGAAAAAATTATATGTTTTACATGGCAGAAAAGCAGATTTAATGCCTTGGCTGGTTTCCTAGTCTCGGCTATGAAACACCAGCCGCGGCAGAGGCGCCGACTTTTGAAATTCTTAATGGGTGCACGATAATAACTCTATAAATTTGTCAATAGGGAGAGGGGGAAACTGCGCCGCCGGAGGCGATTTTTTTTTCACGAGCGTACGAAAAGTGCTTTTTTCTGCACGCATTTTAGGCCATGAAAATATTACTTTTCCTCCCTAGTGCAGAAAAGTAAAATAATTATGCAATGGTAAGTCACCCTGGTACTTTCATGTCCTAAAATGCGTGCGGAAAAGTACTATTCCACACGGTGGTAAAAAAAAAACGTTTCTCAATCATGCGGCAAGTCTCTTTTCCTCATTTAATTGCTACATACACGCTCTAACTGACGTTTTGTTTTTTTGTTTTAGTCGCCTCTGTCAACCAATGAATTATGCGCACAAGCGGAGGCTTATCATAAAAGTTCAAAAGTTCCAACATATCGAAAAGATTATATCAATATTTTTTTCGATATATCGAATGCGAATGTAAAATATCGAATAAAATATATCGATATATTTGAGTAATATTTTGATATTTACAAAACATCTATACATATATACATCATTGTCATCCCTACCCACGCGCAAAACTAATTTATATGGTTTTCGGCGCAAGCGTCAGACTTCCCGTTGTGTGCCAAACTGTCTCGATTATTATTCGAGATGGAGAATAGCAACATAAAAAAATAGAGCATAGAACTGACCACAGATAACAGGACAGAATACCAATACCACTTGTATAATTCTTATACAAAGTTACATGATACTCATGGAACAGAGTGAGTGAAACACGTTCGTACTTCCGCTTTCCCCACGAGAGCTCCCATGGATACTCCGCACCCATGAGAGGTTGCTCATGGGTGCACCTGCCCCAATGCCCCCATGTAGTCGGCGCCAGTGAGCCGCGGCATTAAATCTTGTACTTTTCTGCCTAGTAAAACAAATAACTATTTTTCCTTCCAGCCACCAACGAATCATGTATATTCTTGGTATGCCTGCTTAAATTGCCCTGATTTGAAAATGTTTTGGAACACCAAGTACAGACATATACCCTCGCATATACCTACATATCTACAAAATTTGGATTTATCTTCTCTTCAGGACTTACTTCTCATTAGACTTACTCAATCACTTACTTATTTATGAGCCCTTTTCAATGTTTTCACTGTTTCCCTCCATCACGACACGAATCAACAGATATGTAACTAAAAAAACTGCCCTAAACGGGGTGGATAGAAACTTCAGGGTCAGTAGAAACTGTTACGTTACGAAACTTACTAAACAAGTACAAGTTCAAAATCAAAACAAGACAGGAAAACCTAACCTTAAAGTCTTCTGTGGAAAGTACGCGTACGCGCATACTGAAGGAGCCACGTTGAGAAATAGACGGAAGTGGACTTTTACCTGGTGATCTACAAATAGAGTTATTTATTGAGAATTCTACATCCCCCAAGTGTAAAGTGATCATCCGTCCCGATATAGGCGGAACAGACGAACGATTGACACAAAACAAAGATTATAAGCCAAGAGGATTGTCTATCATGTCAAGCGGCGCCGATACCCTTGTGACGTTACTACAGATGCGGGTCTCCCTTCTGCGTGGTCCTTCGTCTTTACCCTGACTCATACGCAGTCTAGAAGTTGTATGAAGCGGTGAATTGGATAATTTTTAAGAAGTTTCACTTCTACCACGTCTACGGGACTGCACACGACTTTTTTTTGTAGTATATATACTTGAATGAGTCCGTAAAATAGCTGTTTTTGGGAGCGTATGACAAAATAGTTATTTATACACCAAGTGAGTTAAATGAGTGTTTATTCATGAGAAGAAAGTTTAACCCCCGAGCCCTAGCGAGAGGGTTAATTTTCTTCGAATGAATAAACATTTTAACTCACGTGATGTATACAAAATTTTATCCCATTTTGTGGAAATTCAAAAAATACAGTACAAGGAAAAAAGGTGAGAGTGAGTTGAAATTATTTTAAATCACTACTGAAGTATCAGATTTTTAGTTGGGCAGAGTGAGTTAAAATGCCGAGAGTGAGTTAAAATGTTTTTAAATCACTGAGGTGATAAACGTCTACTTACCTTTATTGTTATGTGTTCAATAATGTCATTTTTAAACGTCAAAATGGGATAAAAGTAATTTATTTATCACTAACCAGTTACCCAAAAAAACTAAACTGAAAATGGAAACGAGATTTTTGAGAACTTTGTGACTTTGTCCCGCTTTTGGACTTTCAAGATCTGGTCACTTTATCTATTATTCCATAAATCGAATTTTCCGTAACTCTAGCTCGATTTCCTGTCCCTCAAAGATTCGAGTTAGGGAAGTTCCACTACTGTAATTTATTTCAAATTTCTCTTAAAAATGGTCAACATTTCTGGTGGGGCTATGTCTAACTTTATCCCTTTCCTAATTATTGGATATAGCCCCACCAGATAAAAAAACAATTTTTATCAAAAAAATATAAATAAAATTAGAATATAATTTCTTTCCGCTACTTTTATTGTTATTAATATGGTCCATTATTACTAATTTATTTCAAATTTCGCTTAAAAATAATATTTTTCTCTGGTGGGGCTATATCCAAAAATTACCGTAGAACTAATAAGAAATTTATGAAAAGTTAATATTATTGCACAGTTATTAGTCTGGGATTCCAGTGACATGTCTCGAAGTGAACCAGCATTGCTCTTCATGAAGGTATCCTTGGGTGTTTAATCAACATTTTTTATAAAATTTAGGATTTCTCAACACAATAATTTTAATCATTTTTAAAAGCAGTGCATAACAATATGATACATTAAACAATAACTTGCCTTGAGTCAAGGTTATATTATACAAATAATAGGAACTAGAAATAACATACCTGACCACATGCAAAACTTAGATGGTTGATGTTATAGCAATTTTGCCTTGGATTGGAGCTTGGAATCCAGGGCTAGAGAAATGTCAGTTTATGTAGAATTTAATATAAATTTTCGCCAGAAGATTAATAAAATCAGTATTCAACTAGTAGTCAAATATTACCGTTGTTTTACTCACAAAACCTACTACGGCCAAGTCACTTTGCCTGTAATCTATAATGAGACTGCTATAGAGTAGTAAAGGTTCAGGAATTCCCTGGACTTTTCATTGGGATTTTCAAAAAAGAGGAAAAAACAATCTTTTTTTCGCCAATTTTTATTAAAATAAATAACTACATATAGGAAACTCAGAAATCCAATAACAAAATCAATACCTATTCATATAACACAAAAAACAATTTTAGAACTAAATTATTTACTCTCATTTTCATCCTTTTTCTTACTTTCCTCTGCTTTTTGATCCAGCAAAGCGCTTCTGATACCAACTTTATCGAGTTCTTCGATCAATTCTCCGGATTGATGCATTTGCAACATAATATCGCAACCTCCGACAAATTCTCCATTAATATAAACTTGTGGTATGGTAGGCCAATTTGAATATTCTTTAACTCCTTGACGTAGGGACTCGTCATTGAGGACATTGTGGGCTTCATAGGATACTCCGTGCATTCGTAAAACTTGGATAACAGCATTGCTGAAGCCGCATTGGGGCTTTTCAGGGACCCCTTTCATAAACACTACAACTTTGTCGTTTGTAACAAGTTTTTTGATTTCTTCAGACGGTTTTGAGCCAGCGTGTCTGAGGAAGTTTATTCCAGGAGTAACAAGAGATTTAGCTTTGGTGAAAATATTCATTTCTACGTTTTGTTGTAAATGAACAATTTATTTTTTATTTAGTTTAGGATTGACAAAAACAAAAATATTACAATTTATTAGGTTAGGAATACGATTTTAAAATGGGATTGTTCAAACCTCAAGGGTGCGTTCGAAATCAACCTGGGCGTCACACCGAGTGCACTCGGTGTGACACCCAGGGTGATTTCGAACGCACCCCAATAGTTGTATTCCTTTCACACTTAGGAGGAGCTCCGGAACAGCTCCGGAGCTTCACGCGCTTATTCCTTTCGAAAAGTGTTTGTTGCACCACGCATCTGTTCCCTGCAAATCGGGGGCGACTGAACACCGGAGCGAGTAGCTCGAGTGTTTCAAACTCTTGAAAGGAATACAACTATTGGTTCAAAGTAATCAAACCCCATTTCTTAAAACTGTTCTGAAATCTTTAATAATACAAGATTTATACACAGGCGCTAGCTTTGCACTGTTCCGGAACGCTTTAGGGATGAATAATGGCTGCCCAGAGCTTCATTCTCACAGTTGCGCGAAATTCGCTCTTTTTTGTCATTGCCTCGACAAGTTGACGTTTCATACACGCATAAAACGTCAAATTGACGAAGCAATAGTTGTATTCTTTTCAAGAGTTTGGAAATCTCGAGCTACTCGCTCCGGTGTTAGTCGACCCCGATTTGAAAGGAAAAGATGCGTGGTGCAACAAACACTTTTCGAAAGGAATAAGCGAGTAACGCCCCGGAGCTTTTCCTCCTATTAGGTGTGAAAGGAATACAACTAATGTCAAAAAAGAGCGGATTTCGCGCGACTGAGAATGAAGCTAGTACTTAAGCCTAGTAGGTACTCATAACAACCGCGAATTGCGGATTTTTTCTATTAGTCGAGTATATTTAAACCTGTCAAATTTAAATAAAATCGACCAATAGATAAAGATACTCAAAATAAAATTCCGCAATTCGCGGTTATGAGTACTAGGCTTAATACTGGAACTGATTCCGCGGAACTGATCTTCACAGTGGGAACTGATCCACTGCAAAATGAACAGGTCCAAGCTCGGGGTCAGGGTCAGAGACGTAGTACACTACACCAACAGATTCCGTTTCGGTCAAACGGCTCGGTCAACGGCTCGGAAGAACAGTTTTATTAGTTTTATTATTTATCTTTCAATCATCATATTACTCACGCCACTGCCTACTTTTGTTGGTTACAGTTTTTGTCAGATTTTGATGCAATACGAGTTGCCTTCAAAAAATTTGTGCCGATTCCAATGGCCGCAACTGTACATGTCAACGATTCTTGTCAACGGGCTCAACGGGTAGGTACATGTTTAAAATGACAGCAGAGAAAATCAGTTTATAGAAAAGTGTAGGTATTCTTTGATGCTTTTTCTTAACATAAGTATAACAGTTCCAGATTTTTTTACAATAAAGATATGTTGTTGTTTAACTTATGTTACATTATAGTATAAATTTTGCAATTATTCTGATAAAATTCGGGAAAATAACTGAACTACCAGTTAATCGGAATAACCGGTGTTTTATATCAGTTATAACCGGTTAATGGAATAACCGGTGTTTTAAAAAAACTTGACATCCCTAGATGGAACGGAACAGAAAAAAACTGATCTAGGTGCTTTATGATGCTAGATGTTGTCTAGGGAATTTAGGGAAGGGAAAAGGAAACAAGATGGTAAATGCGGAGGATTTCGGTTCGGTTCATCGTTCATCGGTTTTCGGTTCGACTCGGCCAGACTCGAACTTGGAACTGATTCATGGAACCGTATCTGGTTTGGACCGGATCAGTTCGCAACTGATCCGTAAAATTTGTTGGATCAGCCATCCATAGAACGATTTTGGCTGAGTTCGACTTTAAGCTTCATACTGTCAATATTTTGACAAATGGCCACTTGCACCAACATTTTAAGACTAAGTTAAGTCGGACTTATCTTTAAGCCGAGACTTAACTCTAAATTTTAGTTGCACCAGCAGTCGAGCTAGACTTAAAGTAGCCTTAAATTAAATTTTCTTAAGTCGCCAAAATCCAGGCCTTAAATTCGACTTAAAATAATAAAGGTGAGTTCTAACAGAAATTTGAATCTAACTTAACATTTAAACTAACCTAACCTAAGTAGTTCGGAATATGCAGGCTAACGACGGCGTTCATACAGCTTCACTTAACTTAAGATATAACCTAACAAGAAGTTCGCCAACTTTTATGTTTTCCTTAAATTAATGTAGATTTTTATGAACGACAAAAAATAAAGTTAAGTTAAATTTTTTGTTAGAACCCATTGGGCCGGTTTCTCAATAGCGAGTCACCTGCTTTTAACTCCAGGGTAAGCGTGTCGAGTTGCTATGTTTACCCTGGAGGTATGCTTAACCCGGGGGTGACACGCTATTGAGAAACCGGCCCTAAGGTGGATTCTAACAAAAAATTTAACCCGTAATAACCTAGAAATTTCTCATATATCTTTTTTTTTTCTCTAGATCCTCTTTCTGATTTTTATAATACTGTTTCAAAGAATCCAAACTTCTCTCTCTCATGCCTGGTGAAGCAGCATTGAAATTCCTGCATACATTCTCCCAGGCCTCGTTTTTTTCATGAATGGATAGAGCATCAGTTTTTTTATTTTCAATAATATTTTTAAGTCTTGCCACTATATTAATAATTAAGGCCTCCTTTTATGCTAATGTAAAATTCGCGCCCCTCTGCTTTTTAGAATTTGGTTCTTCCATTGCTCAAACTCTCAATCAGAAACACCCAAACACCGAAAAACCACAAAATACTAAAGACTATTTGTTACGAAGGCGTAGAAGGGCCAACATCAATATATATTTTTTAACGTGTATTTGAATCGACAATTGTCGGTCCAATCGACAATTGTCGGTCCGATCGACAATTGTCGGTCCAATCAACAATTGTCGGTCCGATCGACAATTGTCGGTCCAATCGACAATTGTCGGTCCGATCGACAATTGTCGTTCCGATCGACAATTGTCGATCCGATCGACAATTACGTTTGTTTTTTTCACGAAAACGCTGTTAGCTGAACCGTCAGTCTGGTGTCGAGTGTTTCAGTGTAAAAAATTCACAACGGATGAAGTCTAGAATAAGGTAATATGTTTACTTTGAAATTTGCTACTTATCTACTATCTTCTGCAAACTTAGGATATATGTATACTCCTCTCATTAAATATATTAAATTTCAGGCCTCCATTATGCAGGCGCGGCTCGTGAGGTGGGTCAAATTTACAGAAACAGCGTCGTTTTTCGAGTTCAGGGCGCAAAATAATTCGATTTCTGCATTTTGTTGAGCGTGATGTTGGTTAATTCAAGACTAAATATCCAGGATGTTTAATTGAAAATTTATTGTTTGATTTTTTGGTGGGTCATTGACCGAATGACCTTATAGAGGAGCAGCGCCTGCCATTATGGATCAAATAGATATATTAATAACTCTATTTCAAAATGGGGCTGCAGCATGTAGAAATTTTACAATTTCTTCGAAATATCCATGGAATATTCATAAGTTTACGGACTCTTAAAAGGCATCTCCAGAGGCTTCGTCTTTCCAGAAGAACTTTCAGTCTTCTACAAGATGTGTATAACTTCGTAAATGGTGCTGTAGCTGCTTCTGCTCAAATGCATGGATACAGATGGATGCACTTGAAGTGTATTCAGAATGGTCTTGCTGTATCTCAAGATATGGTTCGAAAGGTACTTAAAGTAGTAGATCCTGAAGGGGTACATTCGCGAAAGCGACGGAGATTAAGACGGCGACAGTATTTCAGCAAGGGGCCCAATTATTTGTGGCACATGGATTCCTATGATAAGTTAAAGAGATACGGAATATGTATAAATGACTGTATAGATGGTTTTTCGCGACATATAATATGGCTTAGAGCGAGTTCCACTTCCAGCGATCCGAAAGTTATTGCAAACTATTATTTAAATGCAGTTGGAATGTTGGGAGGTTGTTCTGTTACTACACGAAGTGACTGTGGCACTGAGAATGGCGTAGTAAAAGCCTTGCAAATATTATTTTGTGATCTATTCAGAGAAGAAAACAATCATAGACCAGCCCATATAAATGGCAGAAGTACTGCTAATCAACGAATAGAATCGTGGTGGTCAATTTTACGGAAAGAAAATGCTCAATATTGGATAAACCTTTTTGAGTTCTTACGAGATGAAGCACTGCTATTCGAAGGTACATACTTGGATAAATCACTCATACAGTACTGTTTCCTACAACTTATACAGGTTAGTTTGGGTTTTTTACGTTTACCTTGTAATTGATCGACTACCTACACAAAGCGTTTAGGTAACGGGTCTTCAAAAAAAAAACAAATCAAAGGGTGCTCTGATTACGAAAACGTACGTCGAATTATTATTTCTTTATTGGTGAGGATTTTTGACATGACATTTTGACATTACAAAACTCAATTTTTAGGTTAGGAAAAATAAGGCTAAGACATACCTACGTTTAGAAACCCATAGCCAACTTTGATTTGTTTTTTTTTTTGAAGACCCGTTATATGTATTCACAGGAATGTGTGTTTTCGGGACCTTTGTATCAGTTTTTCGTGAAACTTTGAATGCTGTCAACAAAACTGTGCCACCTTGTTTTGTTCCCAGTGTTGAGATACAGGGTGAAATACTTGAAATAGAAATTATGCCTTTTTGGGGCGGTATCATATTCAGAGACCCTGCAAGATAACGGGTCTTCAAAAAAAAGCAGACAACGTGGAATTATCACCTATACATATATACTAATAAAGCCGTTTAAACATCATTTTGACAACCTAAAAATGAAATGTTTGTAGATATTGTAAATTAGAGACGTGAAAAGGAAAATCCATCAAAATAAATCGGTTTGGTGAAGCTGAAGGAGATGAAATCGACGAAAATATAGTGAGAATCGAGCCAAAAAAGCGAGCAAAAAGGAGAGTGAAAACTGAAAACAGTATTTGGAGGCAATTTATGTTATTAACAAATTAAAATTTAATTTAATTTTAATTTTTTTTATGAAATTCGTGAAATATTCTCCCTAAAT